TTTATAATAATTAATTTTGACATATATAATGGGTATTTTGATTTTCTTAAGAAAATCATGATTTTTAATTTATAATTGATTTTGACTTGCAATAAAGTGTTTGGATATATTTTCAAAAACTATGATTTTACCTGATTTTTAATTCTATTTAAAATCATTTTTATTAATCAATTATATCCCATCACATAGTCCAATTTAAAATTAATTATATTAATTAATTTTTTTATATATAATCAATTTTTTTCTGACAGATATCTAGACAGATGGATATGAGACCTTTTTCTAGTTATCTGGTACTAGTTGCAGACTTGCATAAAACAAATATTAACCCCTTCAAAATCTGTATCAACAGAAAAGGGTACGCAGCATTAATTCAAGTTGTACCTTACTTTAAGTGTACTATATACAAGAGCCGAGGGTTTTGTTTTTACCTATCAACTTTAATTTACCCAAAAAATTATTAAGAATCGTAAATTTAAATATGAGTTAATTATGTCTCTTAATTTTAAACATTTTCTCGTTCATTACTTTGCTGTTTTTTCATTATTAGTTGACCATTAATAGACTTCATATTACATTTTTAATATTTTTTAAAACGGACAAAAGAAAAAAAACTAATGCACAAGAGTTACAGAAATGAAGCCAAAACGTGTTCCTTTACCCCTTCATTAAGCCAATAAAATGTCTAACATTTACATTTGTAACATTTTAGTTGATTGCCTGTTTTCATTCAGAGTCCTAACACTATAAATAGGACACGCTTTGTTGTAAGAGAGCTCATACTAGAAATAAAATTCAGAGTTTTCTCTTTTCATTCTGTTTCTGTGCCATTTTGATATCAGAGCTGGTCTAGAGAGCGAGAGAGTGAGTTACAGTTGAGAAAGTATGCCGGAGAGAAGAGAGATTCAGTGGAGGAGTCCCTGATGTCTTCGCATTTTGAAATCCAGGCGTTTTCTCAGAAAAATAACATCACCATCGTGCTCAGGAGGTCTGAAAACGTAGAACAGGAGGTTCCCCGTCACCGGAAACCAACCCACACGCCGTCACGTGCTGCCGTCAGAAGATCACGCGCCTCGCAGCCGATACACGCGCCGTCACGCGCCATCCGAAAGTTGAAGACACTGACGTCATCTGACACGTCATCGATCTGACCGGTCAATGACAGTTCAGCCCAATAGTACTCTGCCACGTGTCATCGTCACCACGTCACTATACCTAGTCAGCCAATTTTTCAAAAATTATATTTTTGCCCCAAATCTTTCGGTAATTTCATATTGACCCTAAAATTTTCTAAAATTTCATTTTAACCCCTAAACTTTCCTAAAATTACACTTTTGCCCCTCAATTTTACCTGAATTCCATTTTAACCCCTATATTTTTCATAAATTACAATTTGACCCCCTTATTCTTCCAGAATCTCCATCTTACTCCCTAGACTGTCCAAAATCCCCATTTTGCCTCTAGCCTTTTTAAAAATCCCATTCAACCCCTATATCCTTCAACGTTTCCATCTATACCCCAATCTTTCCCATATCCCTAGCCTTGACACCTATCCAAAATGCCTCCTAGACGTAGACATGTGCACGAGGTTGAGATGGAAGAGATGAGACATAGGATACGAGAGTTGGAAGCCACTATGGAATTGCAGCGAACTCTGTTAAACAACAATAGAGAAAACTTAGAGGGAGATTCGGGAAGTAGTAGTTTGTCATCCACCGACAACCGTCGCCGTCCACGACAACAATAATTCTACCCTAATGACATCAAGGTCGACATTCCTGAATTCGAGGGAAGGCTCCAGCTAGACGAGTTTGTAGATTGGCTACAAACTGTTGAACGAGTATTTGAATACAAGGAGATTCTAGATGTGCAAAAAGTCAAGATTGTCGCCCTCAAACTCAAGAAACATGCTTCTATTTGGTGGGAAAACCTTAGACGGAAGCGGGAACGTGAGGGAAAGCATAAAATTAAGACTTGGGAGAAAATGAAACGCCAACTCACTAGAAAATTTTTGCCAGATCATTACCACTAGGATAATTTTATCCAGCTGCAAAATCTTCGACAGAGATCTTTATCTGTAGAAGAATATACTAGGGAGTTTGAACAACTCATGATGAAGTATGACATTCAAGAGAAGGAGGAGCAAACAATAGCCCGGTACCTTGCAGGCTTAAACACAAATATCAGTCGTCCAGTCCAGCTTCAGCAATATTAGACCTTGGATGATGTCATCCGTCTAGCCATGCGTGTTAAGAAGCAGACGCCTAAGAGATCTACTTTCCAGCCTTTGTCCTCTAAGGGTTATCTAGAAGGCCATAAGATGGAATTTTAGCAAACCAACTTCTCAAGCAAACCACAACCTACTGCTATGTGCAAACCACCATCCAATGCTGTTAGGGAATCTGGTTCTAAAGTAGTCAAATGCTTTAAATGCCAAGGATTTGGCCACATTATTGCAGACTGTCCTGCTCGAAGGGTTGTCACCATTAGGGAAGGATCAGGGTATGAAGCACTTGAAGAAGATGAGGAGGACACTGAGTTCTACAGTACTGATCCCGTATATGACGAGGAGGTCACACCTGCTAATCAAGGAGAAGCATTAGTGCTTAGACAAAGTTTGCATACAACAGTAGTCAAAGAAGAACCTTGGCTATGACGTAACATTTTTCACACTCATCGCACGGCCCAAGGAAAAGTTTGTAATGTCATCATTGACAGTGAAAGCTGTGAAAATGTAGTATTTGACTACATGATGGAGAAATTGAAGTTGCCAACACAAGATCATCCGCAACCTTACAAGCTTCACTGGCTGAACAAAGGGAATGAGGTAAAAGTTTCAAAACAATGCCTTGTGACCTTTTCTATTGGGAATCAATATTGTGATGAAATTTTATGTGATGTTGTTCCTATGGATGCATGCCACCTTCTCTTGGGGAGGCCATGGTAATATGACCGACATGCTATGCACAACGGACTAGCGAACACCTATTCTTTTATGAAAGATGGTGTCAAGTTCACATTAGCGCCTCTGCCACCCAGTGAGATTAGCCAATCCTCAAGGGAATCTAGTGTCTCTAAACCATTAGTGTCTTTGATGATTAAGGAGGAATTCAAGGTGTCAAAATCTGAAGCCCAAATGATGAGCTTTATTTTGGTGCTTGAGGTGAACGACGAGACGGCCAATCTACCTGGAGTCATTCCGCTATTGTTAGAATTTCCAGATGAAATATCTGATGAGATACCACTAGGGTTGCCTCCAATGCGAGACATACAGCATGCCATTGACTTCGTTTCAGGAGCAGTCATTCCTAATAAGCCTGCTTACAGGATAAGTCCCCAGGAACATGCCAAAGTCCAACGGCAAGTTGAAGAGTTGTTGAAGAAAAGGTTAGTTCGAGAAAGTTTCAGCCCTTATGCTGTACCTGTTCTTCTAGTACCTAAGAAGGATGGATGTTGGAGAATATGCATTGACTGTCGAGCCGTCAACAAGATCACTATTAAGTATCAGTTTCTGATACCTCAACTTGATGATATGCTAGACCAGTTGCATGGTGCCACTACTTTCTCTAAAATTAACCTTCATAGTGGGTACCATCAAATCAGAATTTGGCCAGGAGATGAGTGGAAGACCGCTTTCAAGACCAGAGATGGCTTATATGAATGGAATGTCATGCCTTTTAGGTTAACAAATGCCCCTAACATATTTATGCGCTTGATAAATCAGGTATTGAGACCCTTCATTGGCAAATTTATTGTTGTGTACTTTGACGATATTCTTATTTATAGTAAGAATCAAGAGGAGCATTTAGATCACTTACGGCAAGTTTTGCAAACCTTGCGTGAACAGAAGCTTTATGCAAATCTCAAGAAGTGCACCTTCCTTACCAGCGAAGTTGTGTTCTTGGGTTACATCATTACCACAGAGGGTGTTCACGTTGATCCAAGCAAAGTTGCAGCCATTGATCGTTGGCCAATTCTAAAATCTATCCAGGAGGTTCGAAACTTCCATAGATTAGCTTCTTTCTACAGGAGGTTCATCCATAATTTTAGCTCAATTGCTGCACCACTTACAGATTGCACCAAAGGAGAGAAGTTTTAGTGGACAGAGCAAGCTTAGAAAAGCTTTGAGGAGCTCAAGAAGAAGTTAACTGAAGCTCTAGTCCTAGCTCTTCCTAACTTTGACCAGGTGTTTGAAGTTAGTTGTGATACTTCTAACACCAGTATTGGTGCTGTCTTAAGCCTGGAGGGCCATCCCATTTCCTTTTTTAGTAAGAAGCTTAATGATGCCAAGCTTAGATATTCTACCTATGATAAGGAATTCTATGCCATTGTTTGAGCTCTCCAATATTGGAGTCATTATCTCCTGAATAAAGAGTTCATACTTTTTTATAATCATGAGGCTCTCAAGTATTTGAATTCTCAGCAGAAGATCAGTCGCAGACATGCTTGTTGGAGTGAACTCTTACAGTCTTATCCATTTCTTATCAAACATAAGGCTGGAACTCTGAACTCCGTAGCTGATGCCCTTAGTCGTTACCATGTGCTACTTACAATACTACAAACCAAGGTTGTTGGATTTGACCTTGTCAAAGAGTTGTATCAGGATGATCCTGATTTTCGAGGAGTGTGGGAAGCAACTATAAATCAACCTTTCCACCAGTTTTATAGACACGACGGGTTTTTATTTTGAGGTAAAACCCTCTGTATTCTACAGGGTTCCTTGAGAGAAGCCATAATTTGGGAAGCACATGACGGTGGATTAGTTGGACATTTTGGATGGGATAAAATAGTTGACCTAGTGAAGGAGAACTTTTACTGGCCTCAACTTGAACGGGATGTCAACATGCATATACAGATGCAAAATTTGTCACTTGGCTAAATCCAAGGGTCAGAATACCAGATTATACATGCCTCTGCCAATTTCAGAAGCACCTTGGGAAGATATAACTATAGATTTTGTTCTTGGTTTACCACGGACTTAGAGGCAAAAAGATTCTATCATGGTCGTTGTAGATCGTTTCTCAAAAATGGCCTATTTCATCCCATGCCAGAAGAACAACGATGCTATTCAAGTAGCAGACTTGTACTTTAAGGAGATTGTGCGTCTTCATGGCATTCCTAAAACTATCACTTCTGACCGTGATGTGAAGTTTCTTAGCCACTTTTGGCAGACGTTATGGAAGAAGATGGGAACTAAGCTCCAGTTTAGCAGCACTAGTCATCCCCAAATAGACGGTCAAACTGAAGCTATAAATAGGATTCTTGGTAATCTTCTTCGTAGTTTCGTGGGGAAGAATTTAAAGCAGTGGAATCTTATCTTGCTCAAGTTGAGTTTGCTTATAATAACGCTGTCAATCAAGCAATTGGGAAGTGTCCATTTTAAGTTGTTTATGGCACTTGTCCCTTTAGTCCACTAGACTTGAGCCATTCACTTGATAAGCAGCAATATAGCTTTGATGTTGACCAAAGGGCTAAGGAAATTAAGAAGTTGCATGAGCAAGTTCGCGAGCGAATCCAAAAGTAGAATTTGAGATATAAGGCTCAACGTGACAAGCATCAAAGACAGCAGACTTTTAAGGTAGGAGACTTGGTTTGGATATATCTACGAAAGGAAGGATTTCCTAAACAGCTAAACGCCAAGTTGTCCCTAAGAGCTGATGGTCCGTTCAAGATAATGCAAAGGATCAACAATAATGCTTACAAAGTGGAATTACCTAGTTCTTATGGTGTATCTGCCACCTTCAATGTTGCTGATTTATTCCCTTACATTGACGATAATGCCAAATTTGACTCGAGGGCGAGTTCTGCTGAACCTGAAAAGGATGAAACGGACTGAAATGGACAAAAGAAAAAAAAAACTAATGCACGAGAGTTACAGAAATGAAGCCAAAATGTGTTCCGTTACCCCTTCATTAAGCCAATAAAACATTTAGCATTTACATTTGTAATGTTTTAGCTAGTTGCCTATTTTCGTTCAGAGTCATAACACTATAACTAGGACTCGCTTTGTTGTAAGAGAGCTCATATTAGAAATAAAATTTAGAGTTTTCTCTTTTTATTCGATTTTTGTGCCATTTTTATTATAAAATATTTAAGTTAAAAGCACTAACTGACCTTTTGAATAAAAATTGAGGGGTAAAAAACTCAATAAAATATTTAAATAGTAGTGGGACCCACTTATGATTGATGGGTATTAAGTATTTTTAATGTTAGAGTGATGATAAAGAAAATCTTTAATATTCAGAGATAGAATTAACTCATAATTGAGTTTAAAGTCTCTAATGACTTTCGGATAAAGTTGAGAGACAAAAATGAATATTAACCCAACACACACACATACATATAGAGCGAGAGAGAAGGAAGCCATGCTTGATTTTATTTATGTTAGAGTTCAGATATAGATGGAGAAAAGGAAAGGCACATGAAGCAACATTTTATTTGTTATTTAGTAAGTGGAAGGAGTTATATTATAAACTGATTGCAACATGCAATGGCTTCTTCAGCATTTCATAAAGTAGGCCCTTCATTATGCAGATGATTTAGTACTGCCAAACACAACAAGGAAAGGGTTGTCATCATCAATAAACCAAAACCTTTTTTCCTTTCTCATCCTCGAAAATCCCAAAAGCTCTATAAGAATCTTACATGACTGGGAAAGAACACCATTATATAATAGGCTATCTCTTCATATATCTAAATTCTAAACCAACCACTCAGGGCGTCTTGGTACCCGACAAGTTTCACCTTCTTTGTTCATGTTCTCGACCAACTATTGTCCATTTTGCCAGTGTGTCGGCACACTTTGGTGGTGCAACGACGATGAACTCTATGATGAAATTTGTGGGGAGATATTGGATTGGGAATGGAGAAGAAAGTTTGGTGGGTAAACCGTACGATAGTTGAAAGGAGGTCTGAACAATGGTAAGAGGGCAAGATTCATTGCCGATAGCACCACGGACTTCTGTGATGAGTTGGGGGATGTAACATGAGCTGCCATTGATGATGGGTTTGCCATCAATGTCAACCAATAATCAAATTTGGCTGTGCTGAAGGTAAAGACGAGGAAGAGGGAAAGCAAGGTGGTCTTCATTGCTTGAGATGATTGGGCTATTAGCAAAGAGAAGGTTTTGTGTATGTGTGTGTGTGATGGGGTTGTGTGGAAAGGAGAAGATGAAAGTCACGTTTGCTTACCAAATAGAATGAAATGGAATGAATTAAAAAAATAAAGGTAAAAATAAGATGATTAAAGGAGATAGGTGAACATATTCATAAGTGGGTAATTTAGTTCATGAGGTTGGGAATCATGGTTTATGAGATTTTTGAAAGGTGTGATAATTCTCATATTTATGGTATATACTAATAAGTCTTATCATGCTACAAGCTAATTAGCTAAGTGCTTCGATGGTCTCTTAAAAAAAAACCCAAGCTCATCATTGAATATTCCTCAACCATTCTGGAGTAGGCTATGGAAGTTGAAGGTTATAACAAGAATCATTCACTTTCTTTTGGAGGTCTTCTCCGCAGTACCTTCTAAAATAGCTTTATATAAAAGAAAGTGTGTAGAAACCCCATTATGTCCTTTATGTTAAAATGAAAAGGAATCATAAGAACATTTGTTCTTTTTCGAAGCCCTTTAACTCTATAACAGTTTATAGAGGCAGTAGTGTTCCTTGTTTTAAAAACTGGTGCATGGATCTTTTTATGCAAGAAGGATTGCTAGAGGAGTTAGATATATATTTCTATGATATTATGGCTGCTTTGGCTAATTTGGATTGAAGGATTTCAATTTAAATTTTAGATTTGAAATCTCACATTTATAATCTATGTATTTAATTAAAATAATTTTTTTAGATATTATAAAAGTTTTAAAGGGAAGCAAAGAGACAAACTAATATTCAAATTAAAGAAAAAAGGAAAAATTGGAAATGATATGCTTACGTCTATTCTCCATTCAATGAGAGATGAGAGGAGAAGTGAGGCTAAGAGAGGCACCTACAGTAAAAACGAGAGGGTTTGACTGTTTGAGTACCTAAAATTTCAATAATTAAGATTTAGAGAGAATTTAAAATCATAAAAAAATTATAATAACACATGAAATCCAAATCCATACACTCTGTGTATCCAAACAAGGGATAGAGTTCAAATTCAATCCTGATACATTCAAATGCAAATAATTTAGTAGAGATCAAGGGAATTTTTGTCTTCTGTTGCATGATATCGTTGGATTGATAGCAGCTAAAGCAGTATGGAATATTTCCTTTGCGCATTGTGAAAGAAATCTTGTAGCAGATCATATTACTGTGGCTGTTAGAAAAAAGGTCTGTCCTAATAGATCTGTAGTGACCCAAAAAAAAATTTAAATAATTTCCTTCCCTATTGAGATTTGATTTAATTAATTTAGTTATAATATATGAAGAGTAGTGGTCAAGTAAAATTTTACTAATTATTTATATAGAGGTTTAAAATTTGAATCTTACCTAAGTCAAAGTTAGTTTTATTTTCTTATATGAGAAATTATTAAAGTATCCTTGTTTTCATTATAAAAATATTATAATAGCAAAAAAAAATAGTGGGGTTACCTTTTGTAAATTTTCCCAACAAACTTTGGGTCTTGTTTTAAAAATTTTCCAATAAGCTGATTATCTCCCTTCTTCATATCGGTTATAAGCGCGTTCGGTTTCGGTACTCAGCAGCCGCTGAGTACCGTGGTGCTCATCAGGCCGAAACGTACTGTTTCATTAACCATGGAGAATCTCTACCGTTCATTATGTTTTTATCTCAACTGTTCATTCATTTTTCATGTTAATAAGGCTTTTAACAATTCCTTTGGTCGACTTTACCATTTGCTGGCTGTCAGGTTTAAGACTCTCAAACCAGAGCTTTATCGGCGTCTCCTCTCGCCGGTGCTGTCATAATCATTGGGTTTTGTATCTCCATTTGGACCTTCTCCATCAGATCATCACCAAGGGTAGCCTTTCTGGAGAGTTATTTCCTTTATCTCAATGAGCTCTCTCTCGGCGACACAGCCTTAGCCATTTCCTGCTGATTTTTTTTGCAGTGTTTCCTGTTGATTTTTCTCTTACAGATCATCGCCAAGCATGGCTCTTAATTTCTGCGACACTTCGATGAGTTATTTCCTTTCCAGATCATCGCCAAGTATGGTTCTTAATTTCTCTTGCAATGCTTTCCTGTCAATTTTTCTCATTTTGTTGGCTCTGTGTTGAATTTTCAACCATGGGGTGCGAATTGACGGTTTGTAGTTTTATCCTTTTTATTGTGCCATTAATTGGGTTGTCAGTTCTGTCTGAAGCACGTGACATTGATTAAGCTTGTTCTTTATAACGTTATCTGGGAGAGATTTTGGGCTGACTTAAGCGATTTGAATGTTGAGAAGACTGTTTTGGATGTGGGAACTGGAAGCGGCATTCTTGCGATATGGTCAGCACAGGCTGGAGCAAGGAAAGTATACGCAGTGGAAGCAACTAAGATGGCAGAACATGCTCGTACTCTTATCAAAGCAAATAATCTTCAACATTTGGTTGAAGTAATTGAGGGCTCAATGGAAGATATAACTTTACCGGAGAAAGGTAAGCACAACTTGCTTAATCTATTTTCCAAGTTCAGAATTTAATTTTTTGGTGGTATTTATCATTGACACATTTTAATTGTCTCATTTCTAATTTTCAATGTCATGCAACTTGCAGTTGACGTGATAATCTCTGAGTGGATGGGATATTTTCTTCTATGTGAATCTATGTTTGATTCAGTAATATGTGCTCGTGACCGCTGGCTCAAACCAATAGGTGTGATGTAAGTATTATGTTAATTTTGTTGCTGGAATAATAATAAACTTTACACTTACATGTATTAATGCTCAGCAGCTTGTTTCTTTACAAAAACACTATATGATTTAGTTTAAACTGTCTCAATACAATATCGTTTCATTCAAACTCCATCACTGTTGTTTTGGCCTGTGCTTTCTATCACTGATTCATTTTTTTATTTGGAATCAGGCATGCCATTGTAGAAGAACTAGCAGAATTTGGAGCAACTGTGCATATATGTTCCCGTAACCAATCAGACATCGACAAGTGTTTGAAAGAGTGGAGGAGCAAAGGATTTTGTGTCACTAATCGATCTGCGATGTGATCTGAAGTCACCAGTGTTAAAATTTAATGCAAACTGTTGCCTCCATTTTTCATGGAAAGCTCAACATCCTTGTAAGCTTCTCTCGGGTTAACTTGTATTGATAATGATAGTGTGGTCAGTTCTGGAGAAGATGGCTGTATTCGCGTTTGGAATTTAGCTTCGGAATAAACTTACGATCAGAGCAACTACTAGTATCCTACCTTTAAACACATAATTCAATATACAGTAAAGAAATGTGTAGTTCTATCTTGCGTTTAGATGTTCAATGGTCTGCACTATTGGTGGGAAGGAAATTAGAGGTTACATTACGCTTGTGCAATATCTTTATAGATGCATGTTAAGACTGACCCATCATTCAATCTAGATTTAGATCTTCTTAGTTATCCTTTAAAGGAAATCTAGTTATTGCCATAGAAGCTGGCAATGTTTTCAAGCTAGAATGAATAGAGAGGGAAAAGCACTGGAGGGTGAAAGAACATTTCAATATTGACTTGCAAACACACATTGTGTAAGATGATGTTCTCTGCAAATCAACGCAGAGGAAAAGAGATTATAGTACAATAAAAAAAATCTTGCCAGTATTTCTCTTTTCAAAATTGAACGATTATTTGCATTTTAATTGACTGTCAAGCACATCTTGGGATAATATTGACCTAATCATCTTTGATGATTTGCTCACTGGGTGTAGAAATATTATGCACTCTGATATGACCTTAGTTTCTTCTTTTTGCTCACTGGGTGTAAAAATAATTTAGGTTTGAATGAAGAGTTTCAAGGCTCACCATATCTGTTATATTTGAGCCATTAGGTTCTGTCAATGCATCTTCAGAGGAAAAAGAATATATCTAGTCATTTCATTTTGTTCAATTTGTGAGCCTTTAGACGTGATGATATTTCTTTCCTAAATTGGTGATCAATGGACTTCAAAAGTTGTTTTCTGTTAGATAAACAACGTAGGAACAATCATATATAACAAAGGCACAAATCAAACTGCAGAAGATGTATCTACTGTTATGGGCACCAATTTTGAATCTTCTTACCATTTGAGCCAACTTGCACACCTGCTTCTTAAAGCTTCAAGATAGATGTTTGGCATCAAAAATCATGAGGAAGTGAGAAATTGTGTTTGGCATCAAAAATTAATCTACATTCCCAAAATATATGTAGTAAGAGTAGTGTGATGTACATTTCCAAAATAGAGAAGATAATGTAAAGCTATAAATGGATAAGGATGGAAATTGATTTGCTCTATACTGGTTGCAGGATAGATGTTGCTGACAGAGTTGGAAAGAAATCTGCAATGAAGCAAAGCAAGGACCATCCCACAAAAAATATGCACAATTATTTCCAAATTGCACTATATTGCAGAATCAAGGTGCTGCGGGAAAAAAAAAAAAACAGAGAATATGTTAATGCTTGAAGACTCCAAACTTGCAATATGTAGTATGCTGATTTGAAGAAAGACTATAGTGCTGGTTTGTGGAATTGTTAGGTGACAGGGATTGTATTAAATGATGTAAAAGTATCATTTTTTGTGCAATTTTAAGTATGTAAACGTTGTTAATTATATATAGGCCAAAAGAGACAAATGTTGTAAATTGTATATGACATTATGAAAATTAATAAAATTATGTTTTTGTGCAAATTGTGTATCTCTTTTTCTATTCATTACCTTGTGAGTAGTTTTCCATAAGATCTATGGCTTCAAGTGATGGAATTTCATTACTTTGTGCCTGCATTTGTAAATGTTAACAACTGTGACATCAAAATAGGATAACAATATATACCATTTAGTAGTGACCAATTTATTACTTCATACCACCAATAAGCTTGTAAATGACAATGATTGTGATGTAGGGGGTGAAAAAATATGTTGTACTGGAGGGATTGCATATGAAAATGTTGAATCTTGTATTTGTACTGGTTGTGTTGGAGCTTCCAAGTAAGAAATTGCTGAAGCTTGTAAATCTTTCATTTAATCATCCTTTCTTCTTCTTTTTATGATGAGGCCTTTTCTTTTTCCTTTGATGTCTTCTTATATGGTGAAGCTTCTTGAGAGTCCTAAAAAAAAATTCAAATACAAAATAAGTAATAATTTGTTTTTGTCTTATATATAAATTAAAATTTACTACCTTTGATACAACTCTTCTTCTTGTTTTTAAATTCTTCTCTTCCCAACCTTTCCAACGTCTCTTGCTTGATTTTCCATCTCTTTTTTGAACCCCTTTGGCATATTTTGTGACTCTATGACTGGTTCAGAAGTATTATTTTCATTACCATTAAGAATATGATTTTCTAACTCAATGACACATCTCTGAACACAAGTAACTCCCTCAAGTGTCTTAGCAGCCTTGGATGTCAATCTTCCCATCATAAGCATTAATTGTCTATACCTCTGCGTGATGTCAAGTCTAGGATCTACTTGAATCTCATTTCCTCTAACATCATGGACAACACCAAACCTTGCTTCCTTAGTCCAATGCTTTAGAATATACTGGTCAGGCATAACTCTTACATCCTTTGACTCATACACTTTTAATGCATGACAACAAAATATTCCCGTGGACTAAACTTTTGACAAGTACAAAAAATTTCATGGGTATCAGGTTTGAACTCAACTCTCCATTCCTCTTCCTGATCAATCATATAGGAAATATATACAAATAATGACTCTTTCTCATCACGTGCAATTAATTCTATAGAGAATTGGAGATCCCATTGCTCTTGAAACATGTCAAAAACAGTAGGGGTATAAACTTGCACAAGCTGGCGTAGAATAGGCGCACTTTGATTAACCATCCTCAGAATCTTTTGTCGAGATTCGTACTCAAGTTCCACTTCCTTGTATGCTTCTTTGCCACAACCTTGTCAAACCTTTTAAAAAATCGCTTGATGTCCAATTTTGGCTTTGTACATCTCTTTACATCAGCATTCACACTTTCACTAATCTGTGTGCTCCTCATGCCTAGTGTGCATGTTTCCTTCACAGAGCACCAAGCCCATTTCTCCTTAATATCATAAGTAGACTTCAACCATCCATTTTCATGAACATTATAAGAAGATAATAATTGGCTCCATGCTTCTTCAAACTTCTCTACATCAACATAATTAAACATGCATTTCTTGAAATCAGTTAAAAAATGTGACCCATCTTTCATGCGGTTCCCAAGGTGTTTAACACCATTTTTTAATAAATGCCAACTACACAAACAATGTTTTGTATTGGGAAGAACTTCGCACAATGCTCTTGCCATCGCTTGATCTTGGTCTGTAAAACAGTTTGAGGCTTTTTTTGTATATGAGCATCCAAAAATGTTTCTAACAACCATTTAAAAGACTCAATTGTCTCATTATATAATAGTGCTGCTCCAAAAATGACCACACTTCTATGATGATTGAAGCCAGAAAATAGTACAAGGGGTCTATGATTCTGATTTGTGCTATATGTTATATCAAGTGATACAACCTCACCAAAATGTGCATAATCTATTAGCATGCGAGTATCGGCCCAAAAAACATTAGTGATGTGTTGATCAGGGTCCAATTGATATTTGTGGTAGAATGCTGGATTTTCTTCAATTTGTTTCTGAAAGTATTCAAGTAGACACCCCACCTCACCAAACTTCATATGTCTCTTCCTTTTGCACATCAAGTAAGTCTTTACATCTGTCATTGTATAACCAAGATTTTCTGGACCACCGGCATATGTACTCATTAAGTCAAAAGTATCCTAGGTTCAAGTCCAGATTCTTCTGTAAGATCCATTTCATAGGCTTGAGCTTCTGATATATTTCTCTGACATGGTAACAAGCTTACTGTGTCTTTTGTGTGAAGTGGGTGATTATGTTCTCTATCAATCACAGTGATTCTGAACTTTTGGCCAACACGAGATACTACCATTCTTGCCTTACAATTAGTCCTTGTCTCTGGTCGATGTGTAGAAGCATATGCCCTTTTTTCATTTTTCCTTGCAGACCTTCCTTGCAACATAAAAATCTATATGTAATAATAATGGATTTGTCTGCTCTACTCTTTGTAGAAGTACCCTTTCTAACTCCAAATCCAATTCTTTTACCATATTCTGTCCAAAACTCCCATGCCTCATCCAAATTTTCAAACTCCCTCCCTATTTTGGGTTCCAATTCATCTTCCTCTTGTATGGTTCCTGTGAAGAAAAATTATATTATACATTTTTATCAAAAATAAAATTTTCCAAAACATACAAGGTTATGGTAAAGATAATTTACACTCTTCAAACATTATATATTAGTTCTTTAAATAGCCACGCACACCATATATATATATATATTTCATCCATATATATATACACAAACTTCTTTCTTCATATTCTTTTCAATAAATATATATATATATATATACAAGGTAGAATTTCATTCACCTAATACTAGAAAAAAAGGCTTATCAAGCCAAATTTTTTATAACAAGTCATAGGTTCATTTTACTAAACAATGAGAAAGATTAGATGACAATTGACAGCCAAATCAAGGAAATGGAAGATGTTAAGCTTGGTTTACTATCAAACTTATTCTTGTTTAATATGCTTAATTAATGGCCAAATTCTCCCTCGTTATATTGTTTCCCATGCATTGGAAAGAACTGTATCAAATTGGAAAAGGACAAGATTATGTGTAAAGCAAGCTTAATGAAGATAACTCATATTTCCGACGCAAATTAAGCTGTTTCAGATACAACATTCATAGGCATCGCAGCAGACAAAATTCATTCCCTAGCCCACAATTTTTAATTTGTTGCAAATTCAGTATTCCATTTAACGTAGCCCTTGTCGACTTACACATACACATATATGTATATATATATGTATGTTTTAGAAATTAGACAGCATTCGGTCATCCTTTGAAGTCTGTTTCTACAAGCTGAATGTAGGTCTATTGCTTATTGTCTTCATCATTCATATTTGCTTTCAGTTTTAATAAGACAGCAACCAAAAAACAAACATGAAGAAGAAGAAATTAAAATGAATTAATGGAGTTCTTTAGCTTACAAGAACCCCTTCTGACTGAATGATGTTGTTGGAATTGAATGGTCGAACTTGAAGCTTGAAAGAGAGTGAGTAGAATGGCACCAAAACACATGCTCTCTCCCTCCAACTTTCAATTTTATATTGCCGAATGAAAGGAGAGACTGAACGCGTTCGATGTTAATTCAACGCAGAGATTCTCCATGGTTAATGAAACGGTGCGTTTCGGCCTGATGAGCACTACGGTACTCAGCGGCCGCTGAGTATCGAAACCGAACGCGGTTATAAGCAGCAGAACAGAGGAAGTGCCTGCGTTCGCGTCTATCTCTGTTTCTTTTCCCCTTCCCCATCGCGTAGGCTTCAATCTCACCTTGGTGTACTTATCCCCTCACTGATAGCAATTCACCACTCCTTTCCCTCTGTTGTTCGGCCATTTCTGTCCAGAGGTAAAGCTAAATCTCTTACTCTGTTTCTGCTCTATCATGGCTGGTGGAGGTTTGTGCAAGCATGTTTGGTTATATTTTTTCTTCCTTCTCAGCTATTGAGATCCCGTGTGTGTATTTATGGTAGCTGAATCTTTTGTTTGTTGGCTGAAATTTCTGGTTTCCTTTATTCACGTGGCTGTTACAGGTTGAGGCTCTCCTCTTCTCCTTCCACGTTGGCCACTTGCTAATTCATGTTTATTGCCATGGTGTGTTGTTGAGGTGATTTTCTGTTTCTCCTTCCTCTTCGATTTCCATAGCAGCAGAAGCATCCTTTTTCTTTCTTCTAGCTAACTGATGCTACACCTATTTCTCATTACCTCTGCTAGAGATTTTAGAAAGAATTGAGGTTTACTTTTGGTTAATGTTGAATGTTATTTTGCCACGAAGCTGAATTGAAATTGGGTTGTAAAATTAGAAGTTTGAAATTTGTTGAAATTGTTTGGATTCTTATTTTATAATTTTATTAAGGATAAATGCCCTCGAGGTATTTGTGGGAATGCTTGAAAGAAGTTGCTGGAAATATGATTGTTTAAATTTTATGGTAGAATTAAGAAGAATTATAATTATTACTTGAGGGAGAATATGTTTTTTTGTACACAAGTTGTAAATAAGAAATATTTATTGAAATTGTACAACACCTAAAAAGAAATTATTAGCCTAAATGATAATTAAGATTTGTTAAGTTTGGAATAAAAGTTATATTAATGGTGGTAGTTGAATATTGCCTAATGTTGATTATTTGACAGAAATTGTTAAAGGGTTTAGTGAAAATTTAAGGAATAATGAGAAATTTTAGAGAATATTAAAAAATTTGAATGTTAATTTTGCTTGTTTATTGTAAGAAGAGAAATTTGTAATGACAAGATGATTGTTAGATTATGTATTTGATTATTTAGAGAATCACTAAAATAAGTGAGAACTTGAAGGGGTCAAGTTTTAGAATTCTTGAAAACTCTTGAGTGGATGCCATTTTAAATATATTTTCAATAAAGTATTTATAAAAAAATTCTTTATTTAAATATATTATTATTGCTTTATAAATTATTTACATATCCTTGTTAATCACATTTTTAATATTAATGGTCTTATTAATAACGACGTCATGAATTTTATTAATGAATTATATTATTGATAAGCAATGATTGAAACAGATATATGATAAATGGTATTATTTCTCATAAATAGTTTAATTATTTAATTTTACATTGATATAAAATATTTATTGCAATGATTTGTGTATGGAAGAAATAATGATAATTTTGGGCAAGGGAAATAATAGTTGAATAATATTTGAAAGGAAGAATTTTAAAGCTATTTTTTTCCATACACACTTGATTTTAATGTGGGAGACTGAGTTCGGAACGTTGAATGCTAACAACAATTTCGTTAGCACTTTACGCGCCATGGTACACTTAGCTAGAAGGGTACTTATGAAAGGTGCTAACCCCGTGCGATGGTCAGCGCACGTGGAATGGAGGGATGGTTATTAGTGAACATTATACTCACGCCTGTTTTCATGAGTTTATCAATTGGTTAATGAGCTCGATGACTTCTACATACTAGAGTTGAATGATTCAAAATTACAGCTTCTTATGTCTCCTATCACAAGGGATGAAGTGTAAATTAAAATGCTGTGTTCAATCTCTCTAAGAATAGCTCATTAGGGTCAGATGGGTTCCACACTAATTTCTAGCAAACCTTTTCGCACATTATTGGAGAAGATATATTTTCCATGGCTTCCTCTTTCTGGTATGTAAAACGCCCCATAGGAGCCAATTTCTAGCAAACTTCTTGGCACATTATTGGAGAAGATATCTTTTCTATGGTTTCCTCTTTCTGGTATTCAGAGCATCTTCTAAGGATTATAAACAAGACCTTTATCACTCTAATCCAAAAAGACATAGGACAAGAACTTTCATGGACACCAAGCTGATAAGTCTATGCAATGTGGCCTATAAGTATATTTCCAAAGTCCTCAATAATAGGCTCAAGTCCGTGTTACCAAGACTTAGCTCACCTTTC